GTGTGACGTCGACGGCCTGAAACTGGATGGCTGTTTATCTGGCTCTAACTTGGCATCGAACGCAATTAGGGGATTATCGTATCATGTTTCAAGACGGGTATATCTAGATAAAGTTCGATGTGAACCAGGCTATAGACTCCAAGATGGTACTATGGTGTTCACATTTTACATATTTTGTATTGAATTTTATTTTATGTTAAGGGTACGGACCCATGGTTTCCTCTTGGACATTTGTATTATGTCGAATTTGTAATAAATAAATATATAAATAAATAAATAAGTTGATTACTTTAGTAAAATAGTAATACATTCTACAATAGTTCATGTTAATAAATAATGTGGTTATTTATTTTCGGGTAAATAAACCGAAATCTATAGACTCAGAAATACCGGGATGGATGAATTAAATCAGTAAAAGAGTAATGTTAACTGTGTACAATACGCTTGGCAGGGCCCCGACTGTACTCTCGAACCACTACCCTCCGAACTTAGCCACTGGTCTGGTCTGAGTTAAGTCTTGTTCGCACTGGATTTAAAAAATGGTAAATTTAACCAGGGTAACTTTAACCAAAGTCATGGGTACATTTCACCATTGTTCGCACTTGGATTATTCACGCGGTTAGTTTTACCATGGAGGTATAATTCCATGGTTTTACCAAGATTTAACCTTATGTATAAAAAATATTATTGAGGGCGCTAGTTTGTGACTTCAACTTCCGGTTTTGTTCGAGCGGTGTCAACATGGAAGAAGTTTTAACCGTGTTGCACGACTTCTTGACCAGCGTGGTTAGTTTAACCGAGACCGTGGTAAGTTTTACTGGGCAGGCTGAAGTCGGTAAAATTAACCATTCGGCTTGGTTAATTTAACCCTGAGGGAATTGTAACCGACGTTCGGATTGGATTTTTTTGGTCAATTTAGCCAGTGACTCGGTTAATTTGACCAAATTAAGTCCAGTGCGATAGGGGCTATAGAAGACGATTAGGTTACGTTCACACTGTAGTACCGCTACCTCCCCCTAATAATGAACTTAATTTATGTGTTTAAACAAAACAGCTGCTTCACTGCAAAGATTTCGTTATTTTTAAAGTCAATATACATTCAAAACTTTATAGATATATTCCATTTTTCTCATCTTTTTAAGTAATTAAGTGTTTTTTCCGAGTGGGTATGAAAACATTGCTAATGCAGTGAGAAGTAGAAAGTTGTGTATAATAGGCCTAATTCATCTAAAATGTAATAAATTTAGCATAGAAGATACTTTTTATAACAGCGTATACATTTTGAATGATTCATAGATTCATGAGACAAGGTTGATTTGATTTAAATTTCCATTCAAACTAAAAACATGAAGAGTTTTGAGAGGCCTTTTAGGAGGCCTAGGCCAATCGCTCGCGAGACTCGCCAAATCCAGTGCTGACTAAAGCCCATAGATAACACCTGATAGTTAAGTTATCTACGAAAAGAAAATGTATAAAGCAGCTGAGAAAATGAATCAAACAAATATAATTACTTCCGCAATAAAATAAAAGTATTCCACAATTTACACTATCAAAACTTTATAAGCATATTAAACACGTCTGGTTGAAAAATATCAAAGAATAAAATCTGCACATAAAACCATTAAAAAATAATTCAGGCCTCACGATAAAATGTTAACCAAATGTATTGCAGTTTGACAGCTGTAAATTTATGTTAGAAATAATGACAAGGTATCTATATAAATAAACTATTGTACACAGTAGGTTTTGAGTATTTTATGGAAACCTTTGAACAAAAAATAATAATCTAAACAGAATTATACACTTTAACAATAAATCGACCTTGTGCATCTGGATAATAATATCTAATTTATAATTGGTTGAATTCGCAGGTGTAAAAATAGCTGGTGCAGATGCGTAGACTAATTCAACCCCTCCCCTCTCATATATCGAAGGTCAGGATGAGAAATACAACATAAAATGTTGACCATTTTCCAGCAATCATACTTTCCTTGACACATATTTTGAACATTACCATTAGGACATTGTATAAATCCACACTAGCATTACACTTTTACACTGATTGTACTGTAGGCCCTGCCAGAGAGGCACATTCACATTGCATATGGTCTTCCCCTTGACCTTCTGAAACAAGCCATCCATGTTTAATTTCTAGAATGGTGATCTGTGTTTATGTTTTTATCCTGTTTTTATTTATTTATTTATTTATTTTGTACCTTCTTATTCATATTTTGTCTTTTCTTTGTAATTAATTCATGGAAAGCACTAAATATTACTTACTTCCATTTCTGTAGCGCATGATACAGTGCACGACAAAAGTTACGTAATCACTACTAATTCGGAGTCGCTCAGCTCAGCTCAGCTGTACATGTCTATGTTAGCATTGACACCGTGTGGTTTTTTACATGGTTTTAAAATAATAACCTATCAAACATTCACATGAACAACAAAACGAATGAAAATATATCTGGCTTAAAGCCCCATTTCCGGCAAAATTTAAGTTGTTAAGAAAAATCTGATTTTTATATATTGTATTATTAAGATTTATAAATGTAATACGAAATTGCTAATTTAACTGAATTTACATTCCTAAACATGAAAAAAAGAAATGTAAAGCAAGACTCAATTTTTTTTTTTTTTTTTTTTTTTTTTTTTTTTTTTTGTTCCACACAAAAAATAAATGCAGATGGATTTCTCATGTTTGATTTTGCGATAGGTCTGCGAAGAAAAATTGTAGGCGCCGAAAACAGCCTATCCAACACTGCTAGGCTAGGCCTAGCTTCAGGCGTGTATCCAGGATTTTTTCTGGGTGGGTCGTGATCATAATTTTTGGACCTTTCAGAGGGAGACAGGAAAATCGATTACAGCGCCACCAGCTTCAAGCGGATGCAGCCTCAGTTTTAGAGCTGGAACTGAGGTAGATTACTGGGGCGGATGCAGGATTTGTCTGTAGGGGGTGCGTGCAAAAATTTAAGGAAATAGTACCTGTGATGGCCGGAAATGACACTTTTATATAGTAAAATTCACCATCACATCACCATTACTGTATATAGTCAAAAGTATCAGCGATTTTCGGAAACCACAGAGATCTAATTAGTATGTGTAATGTACACATACACCTTAAAACATTCTCTTTGATGTATCAAAGGGTTGGGGCCGACGTGAGAAAATAGTACCTTTAAATGGCCGGAAATGACACTTTTATACAGTAAAATTCACCATTATCACACCATCATTTCGTCTAGATAAAGCGCCAGCAAATTTCTCATGACCCTTAATCAGGGATTTTCGGCAACAACAGAGATCTAATTCATACGAGTGATGTACCATAGAAAATAAAACTCAAGAAATACTTTATTTGATGTATTTAATATACTCAACCTACCTCAAAGCCGTGTGGCCACATTCATGGTGGGGCTGAGGTGAGAAAATTTGAGGAAATAGTACCTAAAGATGGCTCGAAATGACACTTTTAAATAGTAAAATTCATCATCATCACATCACCATTATAATATAGTCAAAATGAAGCGCCAACAAATTCTGATGGTCTTTTATCAGCTATTTTCGGCAACCATAGAGATCTAATCAGTATGTGTGATGTACGTGACCATAGAAAATAAAAGTTGGGCCGATCGAAACAACAGTGCTCTAGGGGGTCCGGGGCATGTCCCAGAGAAATTTTTGTGTTCTAGACGCCGCGCCCGGAAATAACATTTGAGGCGTTCTGGGCTATCATTTTTTTCTTTCATGGGTGCTTGAGCCCCAAAATTTTAAGAATATTATAGACTTCTGGGTGCCCGGAAATTGCACTCTCTAGTACCTTAAAAATCTTACCAATAATTCATATCAACAATATAATACAATAATTAGTTTTCTTAATACAGTTTAGAGGGGTGCGATCGCACCCTCTGCACCCCCCCCCCCCCCCCCCCCCCCCAGGCCCCAGGATTATGTCACGCAATTGGCAAGGTCTTTTAACTCATTGCTGGTATCTCGTCAATGCTTTTTCATTTATGTCATTGTAAAAAGGCCCTAGCAAAAAATGTCTTTGGAAAATGTGGACCTTTAAACATTTTACGACCCCCCCCCCCCCCCCCTTGCATACACCCATGAGGGACTTCTAGATGCCGGGCATGGGGCTCTTTAATACTTAAAATTTATGTCGGCTATACATTTAAAAAAGCTAACTTTATATTTTTTTCAGCCTCTGAAAGGAGGGGGCTCAGGCACCCTGAGCATCACCCCCGTACCCCGGATACGCCACTGCAGCAATATCATCTTTGTCTCTATCTCTTTATCGGGCACGCCCGGTTGATGATGAGCAAAGTGTTAACTTTTTAGCGACTTTTCTCCAGGAATCTGTTTTCCATAAGTTGTGGAATGTACTTTGTTTGTTCAGATCCTTTTCTAATTGACCGGTGTATGTAGTCGGGCCCCCTTTGCTTCCTTTTCCCATGGGTTGTTTCCCAATATAGAACCCTTGAAATAACTTCATTTTGACTTCTGTAGCAATGTATAGCAAATGTTAACCTTCGTGCCCTCAAAGTTCTTGATACAGGGAGAATATCTCCATACAGGTCTTTATTTGTATATATGTTGTTTATACTTGATATTCAATGCTTGTCTAAGTAATATTGTATAACAACTATCAAGCCCTCCCCCCCCCCCCCCCCCTCTCTCTCTCTCCCTCTCCCTCTCTCAAGAATAGTTTATCTTTTTATAGAAATTCCGTAATAAGCAATATTTGTTTTAAAACCCTAGGTCACCTGAGCGTTAGAGGATTCTCCCATGTCAGTGGTGGATTCAAGGGAAACCAGTCGGCCCGGGCCCCCGTAAATATTTCAAAATTATTTTTTAAAGAATGGAGAAAAAACCGAAAATTATATTCAAATCCTTTTCTGGCCATCTAGAGGCGACGTATCTTATTTTTTTTCTTACCTAAGCCCAAAACATAGATACTAAATCAAGCATTACAATAAAAAGATAGAAGAAACTCACAATTAATGTCTCAAATTTAATGGTAATAGTAATGATTGTAGACTTGTATAGCGCATAATACTAGGACTATACACTAACAACAAATTAATGTTATATGCATATAGACGTACCTAAATAACATAGGTCTACTTATATTAATGATATGGATACGAATGTGTTAGACCTAAATAATATTTAAGCCTATTGTTAAGCTTTATAACAATAGGCATCAGCAGACTTTTTAGTTTTTGGTTTGTAACCCCAACTGCGGACACCAGCAGGAGTGGTATGACCGCATCCTGTGCGGGGCATCCGAATCGGATATCTAACGCTGCCATCTGCGAGCCATCCAGCCTTACAGACGTCCAGTCCAGCTGACCACGCAGCTTGGAGTTGAGCCAAGGTAGCGATCTGGGCGCCATGGTCTTTACATGCCTTCTTCGCGTCTTCAAAATTGTACGTGTATCTGCCATTGGCAACATGAAATACTGCCCCTTGGACTGTAAAAGTAAACCAGAAATATTATCTTAGACTTACATTTTATTTCATCATGATAATGAAACTACGTCCAAGGCCGTAGAAAGCGGTCTAGCTGGTCCGGTTTTGATCGGACCAATATTTCACCAATCAATAAAATTTCCATTCAATAATCAGGGAACAGAGCCCCATTCCCGCAAGATTTCAGTTTTTAAGAAAAATCTGATTTTTATATATATTATGTTATAAAGATTTATAAATGTAATAGTAATACGAAATTGCTAATTTAACTGAATTTAGACATTCCTAAACATTAAAAAAATGTAAAATAAGACTGAAATTTGATTTTTTTTGTGTTCCACACAAAAAATAAATGCGGATGTATTTTTCCTGTTTGATTTTGCGATAGGTCTGCGAAGAAATATAGTAGGCGCCGAAAACATTAGCCTATCCAACACTGCTAGGAGGCTAGTGCTAGGCTAGGCCCAGGCATACCTCGATTTAGGTTCTGTTATCACACAAAAAAAACGGCCGGTATGATATTTTCCGTTGTTAGTATTGACACTTGTAAAATATAATATTTCATAGGAATTATTTCAAATCTGTTAAAAAATTATTCTGACCGAGATTTTGACAATTAAACAAACATCTCAGGCCTACTCTATCTATCGCAGTGTGCGAGATTCGAAGTAAAAAAAATCAATTTCATTATAGAGAGCGCGCTTTATTGACTGTATAAAGTATACATAAAAGCGAGAACATTCAAGCGGATGTCATCTACAAACTCTGAATTTGCCAAGTAACGAAGAAGTCGTCGAGAAAATGGTAATCTTCTATGAGAAATAGTCTGTATTTTTCGTTTTTTAAATTCTTTTGGGTAAAACTAAAATTAATGCCAATATTTTTCCATTGTTTATAATAAATACAGTAATGCATATGCATTTTTTCTAAAAAAAAATTATTTTTTAGTGAAATTTTGCTGGGAGTAGGGCTTTAAAGTACAGTATGGGCTGACTTCACCTGTGAACAAAGTTATAGCTAAATTTTTTTTCCAGACTGTCAAAGTTTATTTGACAGAAACAAGCGACATGGTCATGATGACATTAGGCCTACATCATGACCATAATAGGCACATCATAAATATAAAGAGGCATACAACATTTTTGTTGTCAAACAAAATTTGATAGTCTGGACAGAGCATTATATTACCGTATGTACTTACATCGAGTGCATGTACACGATTTGACATCGTCCAACTTTTTGTTTATTTCATTAGTTGCGTCAAGGATTTGCTGAACTTGAGCTTTTAATTCGGTGTTTGGTATTTCAACCTCAAAATTGAATTCTTTCACTTTACCCGTCAGTGAACAGTCGGCCTGGAGAAAAAAATTATTGTGAAACTTGTAAAGAATATTTTTTTAATGTAGACAAGGGCGTAACCACCCGTTTTCCTCAGTTTTTAAATATTTAATAATCTGCATCTCTGTTTCGTCAAACACCCCTTTTGTGTCTTAGAAAATTCAGTTGTTCAGCATATCAACATTTTTCCCTCCGGGAGTTTTAAGTTATTATTAATACTATGTCTTATTTATATATCCTCACCTTGATAACGGCTACCGAAATCACGATGCTGACGAAAAGCATTTCCAACAATGTCATTGTAACAGGTAATGATATGCAAGAGAAATTGAAATTTCAGTTGACACCAATTTAAGCGATGGTTGATCAAAGTTGAAAGCAATCAGGCTCTACGACTTGTGTGCGTGTCTATGTGTAAGCCTATTTTATACATCCCCCAAACCACGCCCATGAATTTCGTGATCGTCTCATCTCCAGGATATTCCAACACGGAGGAGGGACTACCGATGTTCACGCACTTCACCCACAAATAAAAAAATCTAGTGCGATGCAAAGCAACAGTGATAGATTAAACAACTTGAGTTCGAAATTACTTGTTCTGCATGGGACGTAATAAAAGAATTTTAAAAATCGTTCAAATTGGTCTTCCAGAACATCAGAACTGTGGGTCTATGCATTCCTAAATACCTCATTTAACTTCGCCTCACTTTCTATTATAAGAATAAATATAAAACAACACTCAAATTAGTCTATAAAGTCGAAACCGCTGATTTTTCCCTGTCCTTTGTTCTTCCACGCTGACCAGAGCCCTTTCTAGCTTAGACTCACTTCACTTTACATTGCATTGAGCATCATTGTTTCCATCACTAGCCCACTAAATCACAGGATGGTCCTAGCATTATAAAGATATTTAATGGGTTAAAATCAAACGTTTTATTGCACAACTGCTCTGCTGAAGCGTATAGATGCATGTCGTTGCCAAGTTGTTGCTAACGAAAAATGTGAATTATAGGGTAATACGCCCGCGCGCGATCCAAAAGCGGGGAACACATAGGTTTGTCGCGTCAAAGGGATCTGTTGCCGAGTGATCTCCTTCTCAATAATACCTCCATGGTTTTACAGACACCCAATGGGTGTCTACAAAACGAAGACCAGAAAAACGAAGACCCACATTTTTTTTCTTTCAATCCTGATGAAAATAATGTTTTTAAATCACTTCATGCTATATATAGGCCTATATATAGTATTCGTCTTCTTAGCACATTGTTGCCTGAATCTGAGTCAATTGAATGATTTACCCTTTATTCCAGTTCCAAAGCGGCAACCAATGTTGTACGTCCACGGCTGGTGGCTGAGCGCGTCTTGGCGCTGCTACCCTCTAAATGAAAGTAAGGCTTGGCCTAGCGGTACGCGTATTTTGGGGGCCTACAAAAACCTTGAATATTTCATTCATAAACTTGTTCCATGTTAATGTTAAATATCGGTTAGTTGCTGGTGACTTTTAATGAGTAGTATAACACAGTTCCTTTTAGTTCACTGCAAACTTTTATTCACACAAACTGTACGTTGGTTACAATCAGCTAAACTCCAGGTTTCAGATGTTAGAGAACCCTTTTTGAGTGGAGTCAGCTCGGCTCTGTACTTTTCTTCTGTGTACTCTTAACTACTAAACTGAATCTAACTACTGACTACTGACTACTGACTCAGTGATATGGGGGTGTTTGCCTATTCTGCTTTATGTAATGGGGGTGAGTCTCAAGTAAGTCACCCCATACTTTTAAAGTTTCTGATTGGATCATAGAGAAATTCTTTCTCTATGATTTAGTAACTTGTTTACCAAAAAACTGCTAATTAAGATGTATCACAAACTTCAGAACTTAGGCTCAAAACTGACAATCATAGATTCATAGTGTGAGAAAGGTCAAGTCCAACTGACTAGGGTAAAGTTATACAATGTCCAGTTAATAATAATAATAATAATAATAATAATAATAATAATAATAATAATAATAATAATAATAATAATAATAATAATAATAATAATTTATTACGAACTACACTTTTCAATCAGTGGCACACTTCTCAATAGAAGGTGCGTCCAAAACAAAATGTACAGTAAAGTTCACAAAAAAGACTTATGCTAAGAAAAATACAATTCAAGTTTTCAAAAGGGACATTAAGGAAAAGTAAAAAAGGAAAACAAAAAACTGTTCAGCCATATAAAAATAAAATTAATCTTAAACTAAAAAAAAATTAAGGCAAAATAAAGTGATGCAAACAATCACATGAACAATTATACAAACACCATACAAACGTACATGAAATACACATACAGTACATAAGTACATATATATCCATACACAACTGTATACCCAGTCACATGACTGTACCGTACTCAACATAAACATAAGACATACAGTACATACTGAACTTTTTACTACACCACTTATCCCACAAGAAGCACACATATCAGGCCAGATAACACAGAAGCATATAAAAGTAAATCAAAAGTCATAAAGTAATACAGGACTAAAATAAAAAACGTTCGTTTTCTTTTTTGATCTCATTTCTCTTTTTCCATGCCCTTGTAGCATACCTTTTACAAAATTTGTCAAATTTTTCTTCAATTTATCTTGGAAGATTCCAAATATTATTATTATTATTATTATTATTATTATTATTATTATTATTATAATTTGTATTATTTATATTATTAGATTATCTGTATACTCAAGTTGACCATTAAAACTTCCAAACCAATTTAAGGCATTTATCAGGTGAAGGGTGTCGATTCCAATGGTTATGCAAGTTAATACCATTGAACCTTAATACTACATTACATTAAAATAAACAGTAGGAATGTGGTATAGTGACGCATATGTGCAGCATATGTGTAGCATTGGTCATTTGGTAGTGACACCAACATAGGATGGACACCTATTATATGGGTGTCTACAAAACGAAGACCGAAGACCCAGAAAACGAAGACCCACATTTTATTTTCTCCCAATCGTGATAAAATAATGAAATATGTACTTTGCAGAAATAGTAGCTATAGCACTTGCCTAAAAAAAATTAAAAAAAATTAAAAAAAACCCGGACATACTGAAAATAGCAACATAGCTGACTGAAAGCGATAACATGCAAGTTCGAATGCTATATAGCAAATCCAGCAAAAGAAGCAGCTATAACACTGTCTCCAAAGAGAAGAATTGAAATAACAACATAGCTGAATAACAACTGAACAAACTGAAATGCTACAGAGCAAAAACAGCATTATAGCAAACACAGCAGCTCTAGCAGTGTCTGTCAACACCCAATGGTCACTGACATAGCAGACAGTAGTATTAAGTAAATTATAGGCAAAACATTAAGAAATAACTCCTATGTCTCAACACTGATTACCATCATCCGAGTGTCACCGGCTATGTCAACATCATTACCATCATCCGCCATCATTTAATTTTATTTTGGTCATGTAGGTCCATACTTTCCAAAAATACGGGTCGTGCCCCAGGTTTGCTAAAAACTTAATTGACAGATTGTCAATCAATGCAGTGGTGGCGCCAGGGGGGGGGGGGCTGTAGTCCCCCGTCGGGGAAGCATAGCGCCCCCCAATAAATTTTGTCGGGGAACAAACAAATAAAAAAAAAATATTTACATGTAATATTCGTTTTGCCACCATATTGTTTGTGTTAACTTTTCATCACAACAATATCAATAACAACAATAATAATAATAATAATACCGTAATAATAATAATAATAATAATAATAATAATATTAATAATAATAATAATAATAATAATTCAATGAAACTAATTAATAATAATTTGCGTTCTGTTATGACGAATGCTCATTTAGATAGCCTCATGATGGTTTGATACATCGTGATAGGTGAAGCAACCTCGACCATGACAACATGGTTGACAGATTTCATGCAAAATTTCCAAAATATAGAATTTCAAGAATGAGAATTTGAAAATAAATTAGATGGTTACATTGCATCATCTTTGTTTCTTGCTTTATTCAAAATGTTTTGGTTTTGGAAGCTGATTTCAACATTAGAAAGCATAGCCTACATAAAGTCATATTATAGTAACTCGATGCCTATCAAATAAGTAATATAAAATTCGCCATAATTCATCAAATATCCGTGGCCCTAGGCGGCCCCCTGGCCCCCAGCCAAGTGAGACTCGATTCGCTCCACTAGCCCCAGTATTTAGGTGAATCCTCATTAGGACAATATTTTATTACATGCCCACAATATCTTATACAGTACTTACCTTAACATATTTATGTTAATCTAATCATTAACAAGTATTGCCATTTGGCCTAAGAATAAATTTCAAATTGGTGGCCGGAAGCCTATAACCTTTGCACAAACAGTAATACATCTAAAAGTGTGTATTTTGGTTGTTTGATATAATGGTATTGGATTGGATTGGATTGGATTTATTCGGTGTAAACACCAAGGATAGCCCACGAAAGTCTAGAAGAAGACTTATTTCCAGTGGGGTCCTTCTGGTGGTGATTGGACAGTACACCGGGAGACAATCTCCTACTCTCTTCCGAAGAGTGTACTGTGTTCTTTAACGTGCACATGGGCCATAAATGCACACGGGACCAACGGCTTAAACGTCTCATCCGAAAGATGGTGCGCTATGTAACTTGTATTTCAGCCCTCTAGCTGAAACACAAGGAGAGGCAGCGATGGGAATTGAACCGGGGACCTAGAGATCTCCACGGTTCAGCGCACACACAGTGGCTACCACCAGATTAGCCGACTGAGCTAAGCTGCTCTCTCAACCACCGCAGGGCTAAAATTTTCATTTTCCCACTTCGGCGTAAAGGAACGATAACCACTGGCAGATTCAAAGGGGTGCTCTATTAAGTATACCTTTATCACCTGGTAGTTCTGTCCAGGAATACCTATTTTAATAAACAAAAATTGACTTAATAAAAGCTACCAGCAGTCTGTTATTCGAAACCCCAACGCCACTTGTGGGTCTAATGCAAGACAAGTTTATTAAAAAATACATAGCATAGCATAGCATAGCAGTCAATGACCGAGCGGTTAAGTAAAGGTGCACGAAAACGTATCAGCCATACGGCGCTGGTTCGAACGACACGCTCGTCTATGGTTTTGGTGGTGAAAGACGAGAGAGAGCTGATACCGGTTTTCCTGGTAGCTCAGACACGAAGACCCTTAGGAGAAAAGCAATTTATTAGTAGGAGCTATTCCACACCTCGAGCGCGTTGAGACTTCGTCTAAAGCGCTATTTAAATCCATCTACTTTACATATTGTAACCTGTGTGTTTATAACTCATGTTTCATTTAATGATGTTTTCTTTGTATTTCACAATACCCGTCAACTCGTATAAGTATACCCAGTACATCTTTCGAG